TGGAGGTTTAAACAGAAGAACCTTACCTTAGTAAGGAAGAGCCTCTCAAGGTTAAGGTATTATCTTAGGTACCAGGTATGTGTAGTGCCTGAGGTCTTAAAGGGTAGGTAAGGTACCTTAGGTACACCTTCCGGGAACCCTTGGGGATGTCGAAATGGAATTTCCGTTTCTCATTCACCCATTATCAACATGGAGATTAAACAATCAACCATTGCGGTTCTCATGAGATACGAGCACAGGCAAGAATCAAGGATAACCCAAAGACGACCCTCGGGGTGAACCACAGTCTGAACAAACCGCAGCACAGTGTGCCGAGGGCCGAATGACCTACGCCCCGAATCCCACTCCAAAATGTCCGGTGCACGCGACTACCCAGGAATGGCCGGCCTGTCGGGCGCACCGCCGCACTCCAAGTCCATTTGGCAGGGGGTTTTTCTCAAGGGCACGATTCAATCTGCGGTGATTTTTTTTTCTTCTCTGGTTCCCTCCTCAGTGGGCTGCGCTACGCCGTTTACTGCTGCAAGCATGTGAAGCCATCTCCGGCCGTCCCGCCGGTTCCATGTCCTTCTCAGGCGTGGCTCCTCTTCTCTCTGCGCGCCGGGTGGGTTCGACCGGTGGATGCACTTCATCCCGTCTCTCCGCTGCCGAGCTGCCTCATGTAGGCAGCCTGTACTCGGTACGTGCACAAAGTGACAAGAGACATGCGACTCGGTGCTTCTTCCTTGATTTTTCCAGACCGCTCAACTGTGGTGCACTTGCAAAAAACGGGCTGAAAGTTTTGGGCGGGATGTCAAGGCGAGTGGCTGAGGACGGTTGGGGGTCAGTCGGGATGATATCACACTGCCTTTGTCCGTGGGCGGTCGGACAGAGACATGGCGCCAAGGAGGCCTCGAATGCTGTCACTGCCCCACGTGAGCACACCCACCCAGCCTGCCCAGGTGTCTAGGTAGTTGATAAGATAAGATAACAGGTATCTTGTATCGATAACGATAACGAAAAAAGTTTCTGGAAATCAAGCCCCTCCAGCTCGGACGGCCTCGTTGAAGTCGCATGCGGCGCAAATCCTCGCTTTGCTCGACGTCCCTTCGATATTTGTCCCAGTCCAATTGAACCATGGCGCCCGAAGAGAAGAAAAAGGACCCTAGGGCCTGGAAAGGTCTCACGCCTCCCTTGGCTGAGTACGACCCCCTTACACTCTCCTTCTCCTTGCGCATCCAACTAACATTCGCCCAGATGGATCCTCGACTTCGTGTCCAGCCAAGGCTTTCAGCGCATGACGCCCGTACAAGCAGCATGTCTGCCGCAGTTCCTTGGAAACAAGGACGTCGTAGTAGAGGTAAAGGCGACACCATCGATCCAAGCAGGAGCACATACTAACTCTCTCAGGCTGTCACCGGCAGTGGTAAAACGCTCGCCTTCCTCCTCCCGATCGTCCAAAAGCTCATGCGCCTCTCCGAACCGACGAAGCGCGGTCATGTCTTCTCCATCATCGTCTCCCCGACCCGCGAACTCGCCATTCAGATCCATAGCGTACTCCAGTCCCTCGCCGGCTTCCACCCCCCGTCCGCCGAGATTCTGCCCCACCTCAAAGAAGACGAGAAGCGCCCTGACACGACGGTGCCGGTCATCGTCCCTCAGCTGCTCGTCGGCGGAGTGACCACCACACAGCAAGATCTCAGCTACTTCGTCAGACATGCGCCCAACATCTTGGTCTCGACACCGGGTAGACTTGTTGAGCTTCTCGCGTCCCCGCACGTCCACTGCACATCCTCCACTTTCGAAATGCTGGTTCTCGACGAGGCCGATCGCCTGCTGGATATGGGTTTCAAACAGGACATTCAGAGAATTCTGGGATACCTGCCGAAGCAGAGGAGAACAGGCTTGTTCAGCGCCTCAGTGTCGGAGGCGGTGTCGCAGATTATCACCGTCGGTCTGAGAAACCCGGTCAAGATTGCCGTACGCGTGAAGAGCTTAAGGGATGGAGGAATTATTGAGGACCGGAAAACGCCAATCAGTTTGCAAATGTCCTACCTTGTCACACCAGCAAGCCAGAAGCTCCCGGCGTTAAGCAAGATCCTCGAGAACCTCAACCCGCGACCACAGCGCAGCATCGTCTTCTTATCTTCCTGCGCCGCCGTCGACTACTTCCAGCACGTCCTCCCCACCATCATGCCGGAAGGCTTCACACTCGTGCCACTGCACGGCAAACTCCCGCCCAAGGCAAGAGAGAAGAGTTTCAATAAGTTTGTCAACTCGGTATCACCATCTGTGTTGCTGTGCACAGATATCGCAGCACGAGGTCTCGACATCCCGCAGGTAGACTTTGTCTGCCAGGTTGATCCTCCTTCAGATCCCAAGGTCTTCATCCACAGGAGCGGACGCGCCGGAAGAGCAGGCAGAAAGGGCCTCTCGGTTGTTTTCCTGCAGCCCGGCCACGAGGAGGACTACATCCCCTTCCTCGAAGTCCGCAAGACGCCCATCTTCCCCCTGACGAAACCCGAGATCACCATCACCGAAGAGGAAGCCAACGAGGCGTCAGAAAAGTTCCGCGATGTCCTCCGAAGCGACCGCGCCTATCACGACAAGGCGCAACGAGCCTTTGTGAGCTGGGTGCGCAGCTACAACGCTCACCTGACGACCTCCATCTTCCGCGTTAAAGACCTCGACTGGGCCGACCTCGGAAAGGCCTGGGGTCTGCTCCGCTTACCGCGCATGCCCGAGACGAAGAACTGGGAGGGAGACAAGTGGCTCGGCAACGAGGACTTTGACTGGGAGAACTTCACCTACAAGGACAAGACGAGGGAGGCTGCGAGATTAGCGGCGGCGGAGGCGGAGCGCAACGGCGACAAGGCTGCTGCCGCGGACGAGGTGAAGCGCAAGCGCAAAACCAACGAGGCGTGGAGCAAGCAGACGGAGAGGGACGACGTGCGGGTGGAGCGCCGCGACAAGAGGAGACGTAAGAGGGAGGCCGAGCGGATGTCCACCATGACCGAGGAGGAGAAAATCAAGGCGATGGAGCTGAATGAGATGATTGCGGAGATTAGGAAAAGGAACCAGGCCAATGCGGCGGCTGGCGGGAAGGATGATGAGTTTGAGGGGTTCGATGATTAAGAAAGCGTCTGTTGTAATACTATCTGTCGTTGTCATTGAATTCCTGCCCGGGGGATTTCCGGCTCGCGGCTCAAAGAGTGGAGGAAGTGGAGGCAATACCCCCCGTGAACGCTTTTTTGGCCTCACACGATGCAGTCTCACGAGACCCTCTCTTCCGTCCGCCCCATCCCGTCTCCGTTCTCGTCGCCAACCTTTTCGGCTTTGAGTTCTACGTTTCCACAGCGGAGACGAGGCCGAACAAAATTTACACAAGAATGACTCACTCCCATACTGGCCCTTTTTGAACAGAAACACTGAACAAGATGTCATTAACAAGTAATAACACAAGCACAATAGCTCAGGGGTAGAGCGCTGGGCTCATAACCCAGAGGTCCCTGGATCGAAACCAGGTTGTGCTATCAAATCTTTTACTTTTTCGAGGTCTTGAAGTCCTTCTATTCCAGGTACGTGTACACGTTTCTCTTTGGCTATTCTACCCTATCTACACAGTCGTTCAGGTATGTGATTGTCGCCCTTGCACGTTTCAACAGATTCAAGAAAGATTTCCAGAGAATATGAGATATTCCCTCTTAATTTGGGTTTTGCGAACAAGGGGGTTTCGCATCTTTGAAGAGGCCTTGCACTTTGCTTCCCATCATTCAAGCATGATGGCCTCCCAAATGATATGGGGTATAGTTTTCGGCTGGCCAGCTACGTCGAGATGCAAACTCGACACCAGGGACCCTGTTCATCTCTGTTTCGAAGGCAATAATCGTTCGAGATCTCCAGGCAGGGCCAGGTGCTGGCCAAGGGGGTTGCTCGTACTGAGGGGTTTGGTTCGGAATGATCGTGTGACGCCCGTGTAATGGGATAACAGCTGCATTGTCACACATTAGTGGGAGTCTTGTTGAGGTACCACATTTCCGCCCTTCTTACCCTGCCTCAGCTTCTGTCTTCTGCGCATGCAAGATCTCCAGAGGATAAAGCACGTAGGTGGCAGACCTATAAACAGGGCCACAATACCAATGATGGCTTCGGGGTTCATCTGCATAGCTTGACTCATGGTGTATTAAAGCTCTGTTCTAAGAATGCGAGGATCAAAGTTCGGGGGCAGCTTATGCCTGTCTGATGCTTAGATACAGAATATATGAAAAGCAGAAGATTCATGGACAACGTGAGAAAGACGTGTTCAAGCTCCCTCGAAGGTGTCTTCTTATATTCGAAACCAGAGGCTATAATACCCTCCTTCCTCGGTCGACTTCTCCGGCAGCACGCAACCCAGGCGCCTTTCTTGAACTATACTTTCAGACTTTGGTCCCGACGAATTAGAAGACAAGCTGCCTTGGATCCGGCCTCGAGAGACAGATGTGTACGCCAGGCGTGCATTTCGTTACCAGCACCACGCTTTCAGACTTTGGTTTGAGCCAATAAACTGCTCCGAAAGATCTCCCCGTGAACAGCCGCGAGGCTTTCACTGTCCTGTGTTAGTACGTAGCTGCGGGACCATTTTCGGATACTGGCTCCAGCCAATTGATTCAGCTTGTTGACAGAGAGCCACATCCACGTCGATCTGCGTCGGTGCATATGGGCCATGCGAAGAGGTCGGTGAGCACCCATTCATGATGGGTTTTCAGATATCGGCTCAGACCAATGAAATCCAATTGATGCTGTCAGCTTCGACTGCTTTTCAGATGTTGGCTTCAGCCAATGATGTTTTAAAGTCTTACGGCGCAGTCATCCCGAGCTATATGACAAGCCTCCGTCTCCCACACCTTTCTTTCCCGTAAACACATCATTTCATCATCCAGACTGAGATATACTTTCTGGTCTTTCCCAGCAGCAGTCACCCACACCAAGAAACGGAGACTTGTCAGACCAAAGCAAGAAATCAACTTCGGCTCGTCGCCAAAATGACATCCTTTAGGAAGCGTCACTCAGACGAAGAGTGGCTACAACATCGGGTCAGCATCCAGGGCATGTTCCTTCACGAAAAATGCTCATTCAGCGAGATTTTGCGAAAACTCGAGAAGGTCGGGTTTTCTGTGACGTAAGTCAACATAGCGATGTGTCTCTTTTTCAACTTGTCGCATAACAAGTCTTAGGAAATCGCAGCTTGAGTACAAGCTCAGGGTCTGGGGTCTCCGTAGGCGAACCCCAAAAAACAAGGCCGAGATGCTATGGCAATTTGTCGATAGCCGCCTCTCCAGGCGGGAGAAGCAAGGCAAACTCAGCGAAGTTATTCATGATGGCAAAATCATTGCGTCGGCCAAGGTCAGGAAGGAAAGGAGTCGATACCAGGCAACTTCTCTGATGAAGTATCAGCAAGGTGCGAATGCTTGCCACTTACCGCTTTATTTCCGAGGTACTTAACATTATGTTGTAAATCTAGGTCTGAGCAATCCCCAGACACCTCAGGAGTTCAACATTTCGATCCGCACACCAACACAGCGCCCCGTTCAGTCTTCTTGGCCAAGTCACCTGCCTTGGCTTAGATTCCAGACAAACTTCCCAGAATGTAAGGCTACCTGTGAATGAGGTTGGTGTTCACTCAGTTAAACCTTTCTTAGTATTTCAAACTTGCGGAGCGCACCCGATAAGCAATCCTCGGAGCAGCCTTTCGAGGGGCCTTAGTCAAAATGATGTTGCGCGGATATTTGGTGTGACCATAGCCAGCGTTGAGCCATACGTTGCTCTCCTTGCTGTTCGAATTGACGCAATCATGCCCGAGGCAGCGGGCGGTTCGAGCACTCGTTTCGCACAATCCCTGTTCGAACCATCATCTCAGCTGTCGATACCCGAGTACTACAAACTCCTCGTCTACCAGGTCTCGAATGGCATGCATGAGATTGTAATGGACGATTGTTATCTGGACGATATGACTGAAATCATCGGTATCCTCGAAAGTTCCGGTGTAACGAGTTCGAAACTCCCAGTCGGCGAACACCTAGGTCCAACAATAGATGCGTTTGTCGAGAAGTTATTTCAGGAAATCTTCATCTTATTGAATTACAGAATTAACGAGTACAGTTCACTTGAAGATGATGATGATATAGAAAGAGCAAGGGAGTTGGTGATCCGAATGCTCCACTTAGGCCAGACGCCGAACATACGGATCGAGGATATGGTGTTGACGTCTTCACCACTGCAGTTGGCTGTGGAATTGAATGAAGCTCATCTCGCGAATCAGCTCCTAGATGCAGGTGCCGACCCGAATTTCTTATCTAAGAGATTCGACCGAACGATAGACCGAGCACAGCGGAGTGATGAACGTGATTCAGGCCATTATTATGATCTCAACCCAGAGATGATAGAAGTGCTGGGGCGCTTCGTTGATGCTGGAATTTCCCAAGGCGAAAAGTCTTCCGCTTTGATCAGTGCCATTGATCGAAGAAGTATATCCCTGGCTGACAAGCTCATCCAAGTCGGAGCCAACGTTTTAGACACTTCATCTGTGGGATATCATTGGCACGGGATGAAAATCGGCGCAATCGGATTTGCAGCTGATATAGAGGATGAAGCAAAGGCACAAGAGTTTATGATCTTCTTACTCAGACACGCACAGGCCGCATACCCATCGAGATCACAAGCGGACTTTATCACGGCAGATGTTATTCTGATTGCTACTAAGAGGGAACACCATTCAATTCTTGAATTCCTCCTCGGAATCGGCTGTGATGTTGCCGGCACCGAAAGCGAAGGAGTCACTGCCCTGCATATCGCTGCATTTAAGGGCTGCTACAGTCTATGTGAAAGGCTTTTGGAATATGGCTCATTGGTTGATGGACCAAGTTCGCCGACCCGGGCTCCGCCTCCCATGATTCTCGCGGCATTAGAGGGGCATGAGAGTATTGTGCAGCTTCTACATCGGCACGGGGCTGACCTCAACGGCAACTTCGCTTTCAATGCAGTTCCAAATTTCTGGCATACCTCGATTTGGCCTCAGTTTGATCCAGATACGCCTCGCGCCAGGTTGAGCTACCGTTTGTCTGATCTGGGTATCTCGACTATCAGCCCAGTAGGCGCTGCGATCCTTGGATGTAAGTGGAACAATGAAACATACAGGTACCTCACCAAGCATGGTGCCAGACTGCCCGACTGGGCTATATACTATGGCGCTCACAACCTCCTCCAGTCTGGTATAGTCGAGGTTGCCTTGAAAGGCAATGCCGATGTCAATTGCAAGGGCAAAAACGAGAAAACACCGCTACAGACCGTGTTATCATCATCAAGGACGGCCTTGCGGATGTTCGAACAATCGATGAATGGTATAGAAGAATTCAGATCTCGATGTGTGCGGCTCTGTTTCGAACTTCTGAATGCTGGTGCAGTTCTATTGGGCGGCGAGGTCGAAATGGCCGTGTTCTTGAACAATTGGGATCTTGTTGAAAGCATCCTGCTTTCCCACCCATACGGGCTTGCCCGAAATGACAGTCCTATTTCTCTTCTCGAATCAGCATTTCTTTCGGGGTCTGAAGATATGGTACATCGCGTCTTCGGTTGGGACCCAGGTGCATACCACGACGGCGCCCTTTGTGCTGCCGTCTGTTATGCATCGGAACACCAGAGCACCAAACATCTCCTAAGGCTTCTGAAGAATCGTCCCATGTCCAAACACGCGACATATTTAGAGGGAATAGCTATGGGTCTTGCTGCTTGGGGCGCTGAGGCAGAAGTGCTGAAAACACTCGGCGGTAATCTCGGGACACCGAGTGAGGCCGCCCATCCTATCTGTCCCTCCTGCAAAGTCTACAGCCATGATGAGATTAGGCAAGCTCTGCTATCGTTCAAATTCGGAAAGAAAGAGCTACCTTTCTGGCATGACAAGAGCCTTAATGGTACTGAGACACTTCTGCTTACAGGGCAGTCACCACAAGATCCGCAACTAAAGGCACTTGGGCATTGCGCTGGTGAGCAGTCGGGAGATATAGTCGCCGACCTTGATAGAGACAAGATCTCTAAGACCCAAGAAAACACGCGGTTTGACGATATATACTATCAAATTGATCTGGCAGTGCACAGAGGCAAGCTGGACGACGCGAAGGTTCTCCTATTTGCAGGAGTAGATGGCACAACGACGTGCTCCATCGATAAACACATAGCAGGAAGATATTTGCGACGGGCTGTGCAGTGGGGTGATCTCAGTGTGTCTGAATTCCTACTCAAAGCAGGGGCCGAGATCGACACACAAGCAGCAAGAGATGGTGGCCTCACGGCTCTACAGCAGGCGGCCATCGATGGCAGAGTCGGCATCGCGAAGATTTTGATCGACTGGGGAGCTGACATCAACGCATCTCGTGCAGGAAAAAGCGGCAGAACTGCCTTGGAAGGCGCGGCTATGCGTGGGAGGATAGATATGCTCCAGTTTCTCTTGAGCATGGGAGCGGAAACAGGTGGGAAAGGCCGGTTGCAATACTTGCGAGCAATCAAATTTGCAGAGTGCAAATGGCATTTGGTTGCGGCGAAGATGCTGAGAGAACACCGGGATTGGATTATCGAAGATGACAATCTGTGGCGTGAATTGGAACAATTGGGTTCTCGCTGGGAACAGTATGGCAAGATTACACGTTGCCTGATGAACGGGGCAGAGGTGAGATGGATAGATGAATAAGAGACAGCACGCATGTCTTCAAGAGATGCCAGAGACGTGGCTCTTTCGATTTAGGAGCTGGATGAGGCATAGTAACAACAATTAATACTGATCATTCTCACGTAAGTGGACTTACATTTCAGTACTATGACAACAAAGGGCAGCATTATTTCGGAAAGCTTTTGCTACTGAGTGTGTTTTACCTCCTCCTTTACATTTGTTCGACTTCGTGTTGTCAAAAGGCTGCCCATCGACTTCCTCTCCTTGATTCATGAAAGGTTATCTTTCTGGCATACAGATTGTTGACTCTTCTGAGTGATTTCCTCGACAATGTCTCGTGTAATCCGCCACACACGCGGAATGCGAGAATTGTTGTCAAACGTGTTAGGCAGGTTCAACATGAATCGAGGGGTTGATAAAGGGCAGTCATCCGGCATTCGAACCCACCACAGCAATGCATTGGTGTTGGGTATCACAATCGTCCAATGAATATGACTCATGTTATATTTCATACTCGGAGTTCGAAGTCATCGGCAAGAGTAACGACCGCTTCACAGGAGAATATTCCTACTTGTGAGCGATCTAACCATCCGAGAGACAGCAAGCCTGACAAACGACGAGGACCCCAAGCTGATCACGATCTAATGAACAATACGGATAGCTTTCTAGACACCGGAGCACATATCCCGGCGATCAGCAACGAAATAGAAGCATATACTTCACAAGAGGAAACCAACCAGACAATCACGACAACTCACACACATGCCAACCACCGCGCCGTCAAGAACCAACGCACTTCAAAAGGCTAGACCTCCTTCAACCGCCTCACGGACAACATCCCGCTCCCCATCGGAGGCTCCCGCCAATACTTCGGCAGTTCAACCCCACAACCTTTCCCCCCCAGAACAGTAATTCTGCACATCACGCATCCATAGACTAAGGCAAGGTGATCAATACTCGCTCTAACTATCCAGGTAGAACCAAAAAAACCTTTTAACTTACCTGCATCCTCTCGCCGATCACATCTCAATCCAGAACAGATGCACTCTGCAACTTACCTCTAGTTACTCCGCCTTGGGGAAATCTCTCTCTCTGGCCTTCCCAATCGGGATCCAAAGAAATACTGTGTACCTGTGACGTTTAAACTTGCTCAGACGATGCAGCGAATGAAAAGAGGGAGCAAGAAAACGCTCCGCAGTGGGATGATGGAGTCTGTTTCCTCCTTTGCTACACTCCTTTATCGGTTCTGTCCAACGTGACTCTGAGACAATGGCGGTGAAGCTGCAAGACAGAGAGACAAACGGGGCTGCCCGCGAGACGCGCCTAATACCCTCTTCGCAATAGACTCAACCTTAATTCCACTCGTGCAGTTTGCAGAAGCGCGCCCCTCTTATTCTTTCACCCTCTTGAGAACTCCTCTTTCTCTGGCACGTCTCCATCCAAATCCATCTTGTCTCTTTTCGAAAAGACCTGCATGTAATTCAGGACAAAAGTGAGGTAAGTAAATATAGTGCTCAGTGGGGCCCCGGCGGGTTCCAGGTCCAGGTAGTCCACCGTCGAACACGCCTGCAATATCTAGCTTGCATATGTGATGCCGGTAAATACCTGCAATGAGCAGGCGGTTGAGACAAGGCGGACGGTGGGAACAGAGAGGGCCGCTGTCAAAGCGGGAGAGAATGCGGGTGGATTGAGACCGGTGACCTCCCGCCATCACATCACATCGCTTGCGGTCTCTCGCGTATTACGAAGGAGACTCGCCAGGCTGTTGATGCCCATGACCTTAATAGGACGATCTGCCGAATATAGCTTCAAAGCGCATCCACTCCAGTCTCCCGCATCCATCATCAGTCGCCCGCTATTACTCGACCGGTATTCTTGCTTTGAGTTCACGGAGGCGGGTCTATA